TTGACGATGTCTGTTCTTAAAGCAATGTGTGTTAAATACATTTTATTATAGAATTTTGAATATTGGCATACACATTCACCACCTTTCTACTGGTGTAATCAGGATCACATAGAATTTCCTAAAACCAAGTAAAACTAAATAGAAACGTCTGTTCAGAGCAGTTAAAAAACAAATATAATTTCATTCAAAGAGAAAGATCAAAATTGCATTAGCCTTATCATCATTTGACTTGCACTTGCTGGCTATCTCATTTATAATCACTTCTTTTCTAAATACTTAGACCCATATTTAAAAAAGTTGTAGGCACATATCAAAGGCAGAGCTTGCTATATCAAATTTTCAATTATATTTCCCTGTAGTTTCAAATGTGCACAAATTATATGCTCAGGAAAATATTATACAGTTCAAATATTTGCTGAATGAAGTACACAAATGAAAAGTGCTTCCAGCTCTACAACTTTGCCAGGTATACATGGTGGGTGTTCAGATGCGTTACCATTACAAAGATCATGACTACAAGATACATCTTGTAGTATCTTGCCTTTGCTTGCCATAAATAATGTTAAAAAAGAAAAAAAGAAAAATCAACCCATAGTCAGAGATTGGCAATTTTTGATGATGCACATAGTGGTCCCTTAACAAAAGGAATTGAATAAGATCTCCTCTTCCAGCTTAAGGGTCACTTTCAGCAGTAAGACAATGAACTTTCTCTGAGAAGGAAAAGCTTAAAATCAGGAATCATTTTCCTGCAGTGATATTTTCAGTATGACAACACTGATTTTTCTGAGCACAGAAGACATCACACTTCAAAGACTGATGCTTTCTTGGGTGTTTTGCCTGAATTTAGGGCAGAAAGTGTCTCTTGTGAGGGGCATGGAAAGACATTCTTAGCTCAGGCTTTGTTGTGCAGGGTATTTTCAGATTGATATAGTCTTGAGTAACGTGAAATGTCAGAAGTTTCTACAGTTTCCCCATGAATGGGAAAAAGCAATGAAATACTCTTTGTGAGTACAACTGCATTGGCAAATGATGGCTCTCCAGTGGACTATGAGGTCTAATTCCCTCCTGTGTCTATTGAGCACAAATATTATTTCATTCCCAACCTCCTTTTTGTTTGAGGAACCTTTTAGTTTGCTCTAATTAAAAAAAAAAAAAAAAAAGACAAAAAACCTAAAACCAACCAAACAAAAAACCAACAAAAAAACCAACCAAACAAAAAAACCCTGCTGAAGTTCTGGATATAGTTCACTCCAGAATCTGCTTTCATGAGGTAGCATGGAGCAGTTTGCACCTCATATGGCTGTATTCATCTTCTTCCAATGTACTCTGCCACTATCCCAAGATTTTTACACTTACTATTTCATACACACAAAAATAATTATTTCTTAAAATCACAGGGGCAACATAAGGGGCCTTTTACAAGCTCAGGAGTGTTGCATCCCAACTAGAAGGAAATGCAGCAGGAGGGCCAGCAGACCTCCTTGGATGGATAAGGAGCTGCTGAGGAAAACTGAAGGAAAAAAGAGACTTATAAAAGGTGGAAACAAGGACAGGCAGCCTGGGAAGGATACAGGGATGTTGTCTGGTAAGGCAGGGACCAGGTTAAGAAAGCTAAGGCCCAGTTAGAATTAAACTTGGCTAGGGATGTTAAGTATAACAAGAAGGGATTCTACAGGTATGTAATGAATAAAAGACAGGCTAGGCATAACGTAGGCCCCCTCCTATCAGGAGAACTGGCTACCCTGGATTTGGAGAAGGCTGAGGTTCTTAATGACTTCTTTGTCTCCATCTTCACTGGCAAAGGCTCTGACCACATCACCCAAGTCTTGGAAAGCAGATGCAGGGACTGTGAGAATGAAGACCTTGGGCCCACTGTAGGAGAGGATCTGGTCCGAGACCATCTTCAGAACCTGAACGTGCACGAGACCATGGGACCTGACGAAATCCATCCGCGGGTCCTGAAGGAGCTGGAGAATGAAGTTGCTAAGCCACTGGCCATCATATTTGAGAAATCATGGCAGTCAGGTGAAGTTCCTGATGACTGGAAAAAGGGAAACATAACTCAAGAGGGGAAAATGGATGACACAGGGAATTACAGACGAGTCAGTCTCACCTCTTTGCCTGACAAAATCTTGGAGCAGATTCTCCTGGAAGGCATGCTAAGGCACATGAAAAACTACAAGGTGCTTGGTGCCAGCCAGCATGGCTTCACTAAGGGGAAATCCTGCCTGACCAATTTGGTGGCCTTCTATGATGAGGCTGCAGAACTGATGGACAGTGGTAGAGCAGTTGATGTCATCTACCTGGACTTGTGCAAGGCGTTCGACATTGTCTCACATGACATCTTTGTCTCTAATTTGGAGAGAGATCAATTTGATGGATGGACCACTCAGTGGATAAAGAACTGGCTGGATGGCCACACGCAAAGAGTTGTGGTCAATGGCTCAGTGTCCAACTGGAGACCAGTAACAAGTGGTGCCCCTCAGGGATTAGTGTTGGGACCGGTCTTGTTCAACATGTTTGTCTCTGACATGGACAGTGGGATTGAGTGTGCTCTCAGCAAGTTTGCCGATGACACCAAGCTGTGTGGTTCAGTTGATACGCTGGAGGGAAGGAATGCCATCCAGAGGGACCTTGACACACTTGTGAGGTGGGCTGATGCCAACCTCATGAAGTTTAACCATGACAAGTGCAAGGTCCTACACCTGGGTGGGAGGAATCCCAGGCACAGCTACAGGTTGGGCAAAGAAGAGATTCAGAGCAGCCCTGCAGAGAAGGACTTGGGGGTGTTGGTTGATGAGAAAATGAACATGAGCTGGCTTCAGTGTGTGCTTGCAACCCAGAAAGCCAGCCATATCCTGGGCTGCATCAAAAGGAACGTGACCAGCAGGTCGAAGGAGGTGATCCTGCCCCTCTACTCTGCTCTTGTGAGACCTCACCTGGAGTATTGTGTACAGTTCTGGTGTCCTCAACATAAAAAGGACATGGAACTGTTGGAACAAGTTCAGAGAAGGGCCACGAGAATGATCAGAGGACTGGAGCACCTCCCATATGAAGATAGCTGAGGAAGTTGGGGCTGTTCAGCCTGGAGAAGAGGAGGCTGCGTGGAGACCTCATAGCAGCCTTCCAGTATCTGAAGGGAGCCTATAGGGATGCTTGGGAGGGACTCTTCATTAGACACTGTAGTGACAGGACAAGGGGTAGCAGCTTAAAACATAAACAGGGGAAGTTTAGATTGGATATAAGCAAGAATTTCTTTACTGTGAGGGTGGTGAGGCACTGAAATGGGTTGCCCAGGGAAGTTGTGAACGCTCCATCCCTGGCTGTGTTCAAGGCCAGGTTGGACAGAGCTTTGGGTGAGATGGTTTAGTGTGAGGTGTCCCTGCCCATGGCAGAGGGGTTGGAACTAGATGATCTTAAGGTCCTTTCTAACCCTAACTATTATTCTATGATTCTATGAAATAATAACCAGGATAAAATATTGTGTAGTGTGAATACCACCATTTTACCCACAGGAGGGTAAGCATGTGCAGATGAAGAGGGAGTACAAGCTATTCTGCCCAAGCTGCAGTTGTATGTGATTCTTTTTCTAGTATGGTGTGTGAGTCTTCAGTTTTTTCATGTATCCATATAGGAAATTTAATTCTGTCTATAAAATTATTTGGCGAAAGTGAATATTTTATGGGTAGTCACTACTGGCAACAACTGTGATTAGTCACTGCTGGCTACCATTGCAAAATTACTGTACTGCAAGTGTAAAAGAGAAAGGTGATTTTTTTACCCTTCTACTTTTCTTCCATACTTCTTTTTATGCTCTGATATATTAAGTTGTGAAACTGGCTGCCACAGGTTTTCATGGAGATCAGAGATACCAGTGGTTTGAAAAAAACAAAGCAAGTAGACTATTGTAAGTCTAGTAGAAGCTCTTCAACAAGAAAATTTGGATGCAACATCAGATTCAGGAAGGCCCCTACCTTATTCCTTGCAAGGGACTAGGAGGCATATAGCTAAGCTGACCCTTTTTTGTAATATTTTTTCACAGTGCGTTCAGTATTTACACAAGATCACACACTGTACAGTTCTTGCACTCTTATGTAGTGTTCTTACAGCAGTTCTTACACTCTTATATAGACTACAACAACTCATACTATGAAGTTGTCTTAATAAACAAGTGAAATTTTTTTTTTTTTTCAGGTTTTGCTTCCACAGCTCTTTGTATTCCAGGCACAAATGCATTTTTTAGAAGTTATTTACATTTAGAGTAGCATGCAGTTCTTCACAAGAGGAAACTATCTCACTGACTCATAAATGAAGAACAAAATTTTAAAAATCTCCATATTGTAACGATGTTTGTAATAACCAGATTTTGACTGGTCAGCTTTTGATTGCTGTTTTTAACATCAGAAGCTGTTGATGTAGGGTTTTTGTTTTTTTAAAATGGTAACTACTCTTTTGGTTTAGATTTGCCAGCTTAAAAATCACAAATCCATTTTCACAGCTCATATAAAGCTCACTGTATAATTTCTAGCACAGCAAGGAAAAACTCGGTAGATAAGTAGAGAAAATGATTTTGAAACTAAGTCAGCATTTTGAAGGAATTTGATTTATAAAATGCAATTTTTTGCCTTCAGTAAATCCTTGAAAGTCATTATGACATTTTTTTCTAGTTAACTTTCTTTAGTATGCCTGGTAATGGAAATAGCTATTTACAGCATTTAAAGTAGCTTTACAAATGCTGTATGAAAACCACAGTTACCTTTATTTCTCTGGCACTATTTTTCATTAATATTTTGGTACACAAGAAAATGCATTTTCACAGAAACAAAACAGGTTTATAGGAGCAAAACCCAGTCTTGAATTAAAATCAGGGAAGCAAATATGAACAAAACAACGGTCCTGTTATGACTATACTGCAAAATTACTACTATGTTGCCTTAAAGGAAGCTAAACTATGAATTTTATAGGAAGGTCTAGAGAAGTTTCAAAAAAGTAGCTTTTACCTGATTTGGTGTTCTTTTCCATTCTGATTTGGGGGTAACAGTTTCTGAGAATGTCCTAGAGCGGTTCTCTGAACGATATAAGCCTGTACAGTGCCCAGGAGATGCCAAGTCTGCCTGGAAGTGCTCACAGAGGGGTGTCACACCCCCAGCAGTTCACATCAACAGGACTCCCCCTAAAGCAAGAAAATCAGAAAAGGTACAGGAAATTTTCAGTGTGATTTTACTGCTAAATTTGAGCGTAAGAATCCTCTGTTAAGACAAACAGTGATGGGTCTGTGGGGTCTGGTAGCTCTTTCCTATATGAAAGTCTCCATGACTGCTTATGGATGGAGACACTCTGGTTTTCTCTGAATAATGGAAACCAAAGCACAAAGACATAGAGGGCTAGTGATGTCAGCACTGTGGGAGATGAATAGGCTGTATGTACTACAGTCTCCTGTTATTAATTTTTTTTAACATTCAGACTATAATGTAGTGAGGAGTCTTTTGTCACATCATTTTTTAGAGCCAGACACCAGAGAGATAGAAGTTAAACAAATTTGAAACCTGTTCATTGCCCCAGGCATGTTTTACTTTGCCATTAGGTTCAGTTCATTTCAGCATTCCACTTTTAATTGCTCACTTAGTTAAACTTGAACTTATGATTACTGTTACTACTTTCAATAAAGCCTGTTTTGTGAGGGCTTCATTACTGTTGCCTCAGGATAACAGCTGCTAATTTATTTTATTACTATAATACATTTTATTTAGATTTTTCTCTTAAAACCACTGGCTGTGGTGCTTGCAGTCGTTGTCATAGCTGTACTCTAACAGCTAGTTTGCAGGGCTGGCATAGCCTACCGGACATTGTATAGGGCAGAAAGGTGTACTGATGAGTCAGATGTACAAATGTGCCCCATTTATACCAAAGGCTTGCTACATGACTTTGACAAAATAATTTCTTTTCCTGTAAAATACAGACAGTAATACCTGCATTTCCTGTTAGGGGCTTAGATGCTTTCTGATAAACAATATTAGATAAGAGCAATATATTTTCTAGCAGAGGTTATACACTGTTGTTTTATACCACTCGTACACTGAACACTGGGGCAAATTCAATCTCCGCAGTACAGTTATTATTTTAGCTTTTTAGCTGGTGAACTCTAGTGTTAGAGACCTGTGGGACAAATTCAGCTGTTACTTGGATATGCTTAAGAATTACAAAGTATTGTACTGTTATCATGCTGCAGTTAATTGGAATATCTTGGAAATGTATAAGAGGTAGATGAACCCAAATTTATGGCCCAAGTGCAGAAGGCAATCTGGGTTCTGAACTAGTTATTTTGGCCCTTGTATTTTTCTCTGATGAACAATATAAGCAGAATACTCCCTATTAGGCTCCTGAAGCTTGGATGCTCTGGCTATGATTAGCAAGTATAAAAGATTTACATCTCCCAAAAGGATCCTGAAGCAGCATAACAGTATGTGCCCCACCACAATGCCTCCCAGAAAGGTTTGTATATTTGTCTGCATGGAGCTGAGCTTCCAGCCCACTGCAATTTCTCAGGGTTGCAAGGAAATGTAAAGACCTTCATTTTTTGATCCCTTGCTCAGACCAAAAACGTGATCTGGTCTGAATTTTTTATACTTAAATCTGGATACTGACATATAAATCATACCTGATTCACCCACTATTTCTGTATTTGGTGCAGTAATTACAATGAAACCTAAACTGACATAATTTGTATAATAAGAATAGCAGAAAAAGACATATATTTCATTGTTTCAAACTCCATATAGATTATCTCAGAATCAGGCTATAAAACACTGTTCTAATTACTTTTTTGGAGACATTATGCAAGTAGTGTTACCTCTTTTACCTAAAGCTGTTCACTTAAGACTCCACAGTAATTGAGAAATTAAATGTGGTTTAAAAAGGCAAGAGCAGAGGAGGAAGACTTTGTAACACTCAACTTTAGATTTGTAACTTAGTCTACAAGGGAACAATTCTCCTAAAATCATTCTGCTTATAAGTGTCTTTCCAAAACATCTGGATGAAGCACCTGACAGCTATTCTGCCCAGACCTCAGGCACTGTCACAGAAAGAAGTGGTCCACTGGGCATTAATCCCCAGCATACCATCAGGAACAAAGCTAAATCTAAACTATACAAAAGCCTAGCTTACATTCAGTAAGAAGAGATGAAATATCAAAACCTCACAACGGCAAATAGATTAATGCTAAGCATCGTGGAATCTTGCAGACTGTAATTTATGAACACAGAGAAAGCAGATTGTAAGTATCATGTCCAGTGAGAGTCTGGAAACTTAGACATGTGCCCCAGGAACAAAACACACAAGAAATTTCCACTATTTTTGGGTTACAAAACCTTCCAAAACCCTGTTAACTAGAGGGACGATTGTATCAGTAAACCTGTTGTGCTGAATTTGTGGCTGTTTATCTCTGACCGCTCTGAAAGCCAAGTGCTTCTGTGCTTTAGGCCACCTTGTTTAGGTAAGCAGTTTTGTAAAGTTGGGTCTCAGTGCACTTTTGGGACAACCAATTTCATAGCAAATTGCACCACTGACCTCTGCTGAAGATAATCAGTATTGCTCACTTTTTTAAACTTGTTTCCTTATCAATAAGAGCTACAAGGGATTCTCCCCTCAAGTCAACCTGCAGGGGCTGGAGATTGAAGCTGAAAGGATATTTTGGCTGTCAGATCACGGAAGTAAAGACCATTACCTGAGCTAAGGGACAAGACAGGCATAAAACCGCTAAGGTACACCTTTGTCATGGATACATTTATTTTGCAAGAGGAAAGACATTTCCTTTAGTGCAAACAAAAATGTCAAATTGGATGGTGCTGGAGTTCATGAAAAGGACTGTATTTCATATACATATGAAAGAGGCTTAATTTGAAGCTTCAGTATCTAATTTCACATCTGATGTTCTTCTGTTTCCACCTATTATCACAGCACTCCCTTTGAGTTTAGCTGCAAAGCTACATCACTGAAAACCTCTGATTTGGAGATTCTTCTGCTTTACAAATGACTTGTAGTCACCAAATATCACTGAGAAATATCAAATATCTTTCCTCACAGATAAATATAAAAGGGTCATACATCTGTAAGCACTTCCATTCATATTGTAATACAGTGTAAACTTTAAGCACAATTAAAAACTTAATCTTCAGATCTGCCAGTGCCACCTCGAGTTTTGCTTTCAGATACCCAGTCAAACCAGGACACTAGTATTTTCACAGTGTCACTATACAGGCTATTCCAGAGTTGAAGCTCCTTTACTAATCATGGAGAATTCAAACTTCCTGCAACAGAAAAGCAGGTAAAAAATATAACACCATGATCACCTATTAGATTGCACAGTTTGTCTTTGATTGAATCCAGGACACAGGGAGCAAAAAAGATTCAGAGAGCATACAAATGTAAAGTAAATATAATTTCATTATTGAAAGACTACAATATTATAATGACAGGCAGAATGAAGAAGGCAGGATGCACTATGAAGGGAGAAATAGAGGAACAACTGCAGTTTCTTTCTGAGGGTACTGTATTTTAAACTAATTTTTCCCTGTTTTGACCTTGATGACTGTTTCCTTCAATGCACTTCCTTCTTTTCCTTCTATTTATTCACCTGAAGTTCCTCAAAACTGTTTACCTTCTTTCATCATTTCACTGCACTTGCTTCCATCACTGTCTTTTCTCCTTTGCTCCTATCCGGTTTCCTTAACTAAATAACAGCAAACCAAGGAATTATCTATACCACACAGGAATATTTATGACATTTTTTAAGTCATTTTGTGCTCCTGACTTTTCTTAGAGGGATTTAGGTAAGACAGAGTGTTGAATCCACAATAAACAATTTTCATCATGGAAAACAGCATTGAAATAAGTGTCTGCCATAGTACCTGCATTTTGGTCTGCTGGTACATAAATTTTTGGAAAAGCAGTAGTAATCTTCATATCCTAGTAAAAGAGGATAGAACAACTCTCTTCCTTGCTCCTCCAGGGAGCTAAAAGAATTTGTCACTGATAAGGAAGTCATCTAGAAGGCATTTCTAGGATATCAGTCAGGCTTATAAGCCGCACAGCAGGAACCATATCAAGGAGACCAAAGCAATTAGCAAGCAAAAGCCAATTCCCTGGTGAGACTAAGAGATGTCTGAATTCTACTATTAGCTGGCCTATTCTAAAGTTTTAACTGAGTTTTGGCTGAGTTTATTCCTGGTTAGAAAGGTCATCAAATATACTATTTAAAAGTGGTGGAAATACAAAGCATATTTGACAGTCATAGGCAATATTTTTGTAATTGATTCATCAGTGCAGTTCTTCCAACCTCCTCTGGTATTTTAGGACCTGTATTTTGGAGAGTTTAGGGTCTCCAAATCCTATGAATTCAATAAATGAATTAACTCTAATGCTCTGAATGATCCTTAATAGCCTAAATCTCCAGAAAACAGTAAAACCAGGCATGTAGGGTCCTAAATCTACCCTCTTTCAATGTAAAACCATTCACCCTTGTCCTGTTACTACATGGCCTTGAAAAAATTCCATCTCAAGCTTTCTTGTAGGCCTCTTGAAGGCGGCTATCAAGTCTCCCCAGAGTCTTCTCTAGACTGAAAAAGCCAACTCTCTCAGTCTGTCTTCACAGGAAAGGTGTTCCAGCTGTCTGAGCATCTATGTGACTTCTTCTGGGCTCGCACCAAGTCGTCCATGTCTTTCCTATGTTTGGGGCTGAATGCAGTACTGCAGGTGGGAGTCTCATAAGAGCCAAGGAGAGGGGAAGAATCACCTTCCTTGATCTGGGAGGTTAAGGCTGTTTTGATGCAGCCCATGATACGGTTGGCTTTCTGGGCTGTGAGCACACACTGCCGGCTCATGTTGATCTCATCAACCAGCATCCCCATGAGGGCTGCTTTCAATCCATCCCCTGCCCAGCCTGTAGCTGTGCTTGAGATTGCCCTACCTGGGAGCAGGCCTTGTTGAACTCCACAAGGTTCACACAGGACCACCTCTCAAGTCTGTCAGCCTGTCACCAACAAAGATGTTAAACAGTGCTGCTTCAAATAAGGATTTTTGAGGGGTTGAGGTTTTGAACTATTTTGAAGTATTCTAATCTTTGAGGCCTATTTTCTTCTAATTTGGAATTTTTAAAAGTTAGTGTCCTGATTCTTG